ATTTGATCCATTCATTAGCTTTGCCAGTTATTCCATAGAAATTTAATTTCGATAGTAAGATATCATGATTAACACAATCGAAAGCTTTTGCTAGATCACAGAAAATCCCTCCCACAATTAATCTGTCATTGAGAGCACTTAAAATATCGTTAGTTAGTTCATAGGTTGCTATGTACTTATGAAGATAGGAGGGGTTGATCCTGCTTACACACATATACTCTTATACTTATCTCTTTACATGTATCTAACCAATATTTGTCTGTCATTAAATAATATTGTCTTGCTTTATCAGTCCATAAAAACGAGTCTCTAGTATCTAAGTATAAAAACTTTGTTTGATCCAGGGGCTTTAGAATAGGAATGAGTTTATATATATCAAATTGACCCCTGTTCACCAAGGGTACATGGATCACGTATGCTAAGACTCCATTACTTACATATACTTGTAAATTACACTCTTAATGCTAAATAAGCTGAGTCCTTGCTCAATGGGAAAGGGAACGTTACATCTCCTGGAAGTGCAGATGCACTATGCATTAATGCTTCCATCAGCGAGTATGGCGAGACAATCTGAGGTTGCAACACACCCATAAAATTCAACACTCCTCTCCTTTTCCACTTTCCCTTGTCAGTAACTGCTTGACTCCCCGTTATCTGTTTCAGCAACTCCTCCATTTCTGTCAACTGATACAGCTTTTCCCTAGCGTCATTATTGTAATTAATGCAACCTGCCCAATTCCTAACGAATTTGGTGTGGCACAGAACATCTATGTGGTGCAGGTACCGTTGTAGAGCAAGAGCTTCATGATGAATTTTGTCTAGATTTACATATACAATGGTTTTCCATTCCACATTGTACATGTTTGCTACGCCCTTGCTTTCATAGTAAACACCGGGTGACTCATCATACCTCTCCAAGGAGTACCCTAATTCTTTTTGTGCTGTAGCAGTCAGAAATACTGTTACAGACAGCAAGATTTTCACAGTTGCCGCGGGTTGCATCCCCATCTGAAATTGAGAACAAAGAAAAGCAATGTATCTCCTTTCCCTTTAGTTGCATATAACAAAATTGGGTCCTACATGCTACTTCCCTCTTGATCCGCTTCCCAAATCCACTCTAACTTACCAACCTATCTCTCAGATTATACTGAGCTATCCTACTAATAGTTCATTGCTACACATGCCATTTGTTTAGAAAAAAGGTTTCAATCTGTTGACGTGCACTTGCTGTGTACAGCGCCCCTTCTTGAGAGTAGCATTTAACCCATTTACGGATAACACTTCATAGGGCCCGATGTACTGAGGACTAAGTTTCTTCGATCTACCTCTGCGGACTGTTTCGTCATACAGCAACACCTGCTGACCTACCTCTAATTTAAATGGTTCTGTCCCCTTGTCATACTGTTCCTTGCTCTTTTCTTTGCGTAAGATTAGTTTCTGTCTTGCCACTTCGTGCGCAGTTTGTAGTCTCCCCTTTAACTCCGTGAGGTAGTCCTCATAATTGTACTGTATGCTGGGACTATCTCTTAGTGCGGATGGCACTTCTGACTTGAATCCATACACCAGTTCGAATGGTGTTAGTTTGGTAGCAGTATGTGTAGTTGTGCTGTACATGTAAACTGCATTCGGCACAAATTCATCCCAGTTACGCTGATCTTCGGCTACGTAGTGGCGGAGGTACTCCGCCAGAACTCTATGACTTCCCTCTAAACTGCCATTCACTGGGTGAAATGCTGTGGTCTGCATCTTTCTGATCCTTAGTAACTTGCAAACATTCTTGAACAAATTACTCAGAAAGTTTGAACCTTGGTCAGTCAGAATTCTGGCAGGCGCCACAAATTTCAAAACAATATTCAATACGAACGCCCTAGCGACAGTTTCTGCATCTTGCTGCGGAAGCGGTGTCGCTACTAGGAATTTACTAAGTTCATCTTGGAACGTTAGTATGTATTTATTTTCTGATTCACTCTCTACCAGCGGCCCTACGATACCCAAGGAACATTTCTCAAAGGGATGACTGGCTGTTGTGGTTATTTCCATAGGAGATTTCTTTTTCGCCCTGAGTGCTTTATTCAACTGACACTTAGTGCACTTTCTCACATACTCCTCTATTTCTTCCTTCATATTTGACCAAGAGTAATGCTGTCTAATTGCCTGGTATGTCTTGTTCATACCACAATGACCCCCGAGAATTGAATCGTGGTTTTCATGCAATATTTTGCCCTTCATCTCCTCATCTATTTCTTCCGAGTCACACACCTCCCTATTAAGAGCACCTATTCTAGGCAAAGCGTCTGTGTTTGAATTTTGTGATCCAGGTTTATATACTACTTCATGGTTGTATTCCTCAAGTTGCAGGCGCCATCTAAGCAATCTCGAACCCCGGTCTTTCACGCTCATGATCCAGGTAAGGGGTTTGTGATCACTCACAACCTTGAACTTCCTACCATACAAATATGGCCTGAAATACTTAATTCCCCAGACAATGGCTGCTAATTCCTTCTCCACCGTACTGTAGTTCTTCTCGGCCTTACTGAAGCTACGACTTGCATACGCAATTGGTCTGTCTTTACCTATCTCTCCCTGAGACAGAATCGCCCCTGCACCTTCATTTGACGCGTCAGTGGTCAAGATAAATTCCCTGGAGAAATCAGGGTACTGCAAGATTGGTTGCGACATTAGCTTCTGCTTTAAGCTTTGAAATGCATTTTCCTGTTCTTCCTCCCATTCGTACTTAGCGTTCTTCTTCAAGAGTTTGTGCAGTGAAGCTGCTATTTTGCTAAACTGAGGGACAAACCTCCTATAGTAGCTTGCTAGCCCTAGGAAACCTTTCGATTGTTTAGCTGTTTTCGGAGTAGGGAAATTTTCAATTGACTCTGTCTTCTTGGAGTCAGGTCTAACCCTGTCCTCTGATATTACGTGACCGAGGTAACTGACCTCCTTTCTTAAAAATTCGCATTTGTCTGGCTGGAGCTTCAGACTATGTTTTCTCAGCCTTCCAAACATGGTACGCAATTTTGCGTCATGCTCTGCTAAGCTATTTGCATATAATATGATATCGTCCGGGAAGACGAAACATCTTGGGCCTGTGAGGCCACTTAAGACGGTGTTCATGAGTCTCTTGAATGTAGCAGGTGCTGTCCGGAGGCCAAAAGGCATTTTCCGGTACGCCCAGTGCCCCTGCTTCGTACTGAAAGCCGTCTTGTCTATATCTCTCAGGTCCATTTCTATCTGGTGATAACCCATGGCTAAATCTAAACAGCAAAAGTAGTCCTAGTTGGTCTAGAAGCTCAGTGATATCCGGCAAGGAATAAGCATCTCCTACCGTCTTCTCGTTTAGCTTTCGGTAATTACTACAAGCCGGAATTTCTGCTGGCCACTAGCATCCGCCTTTTTTAGCTACCACCAAAATCGGACTGTTCCATGGTGAGTTACTTTCTTGAATTACTCCTTCCTTCAATAATTTCTCTACCTGTTTCTCTACTTCCACTTTCTGGTTTCAGGAAGTCTATAGGGTCTCGTGTTTATTGGTTCGGTCCCTGGCTCGACACGTATGGAATGATGCTACTTAAAATGTCTCCCGACAAATAGAACACATCTTGATAATCTTGACACGTTCCTATCAATAATCTCTTTTCTTCATCATTCAGATGATCTAATCTCAGCTGTTCCAAGATTCTCTTTTCCCTATCCTTTCGCTTTTCTTCAGTCGCTCCTGTGGAATTCTGTACTGGTTCGACCTCATTTAATTCTACTAACGGCTCCTGAATTTCTGCCTCCTCGTCGTTCGTATTTAAAATGCTAGTTATCACATAACCGTTTATCACTTTGGCTAATGACCCTGCCATAAAAATTCCTTCTTGAATTTCGCATTTGTCTAGGATCCCCACTAATGGCGACCCTTCCTTCACCGGTAGCTTGACAACACATTCCAATCTCCGCGGTAGGATTATGTTCCTGGTCTCTCGCGTCTTTTCTGTCTCCGCGATTTCTGTTTGGTTAGCATTCACCAGCTTAATCATCTCCCCATTTAGCTTAACACATTGAGTGTCATAACATATTTGCGCTTTTGCATTTCGAAAGAAATCCCTTCCTAATATCCCGTCACAAGGAATATCTATCTGCTTCTTTGCTAACTGAAACTCGTTCGTAATCGAACTATTCTCGAGGTTAATTTCAGCCTCTATCGCTCCATAGGTATCTATCAGGGATCCGCTTATGCTTTTCACCCTTACTTTTCTTTCTGGATCATATCAATTTCTCTCCCTTGAGGACACTAATGTCGGCTCCCGAGTCTATAAGCAACAACAACTCACTTGTCTTGCTAATGTTCACTCTTAGCTTGAGGAATTCGCAATCATTCCGCCCTATGCAGCCTACTGAGTAGACTGGACCGACAGTCGGCTGCCATTTCCCCGTTGGTCCTGATTCGTTTCCCGAACTGTTACTCCCTGATTTCCCTTTATTAATTTCCGGTCTATCTGCCTTTTTCCTAGGCTTTGTACATTCCCGAGCTATGTGCCCCTTTTCCAAACAGTTCTAACATACAATATCCCGACTGGGCCCTCGACTTTCGTGCCTTGCAGAAAAATGATTGACCCTTGCGTCCTTCTTGTCTTTAAGAAAGCACCTGCTCGTCACATGATTGTTCCTGCCACAATTACTGCATTTCAAACTATCCGAACCCATGTTTGGACATTTGTACCTCTCAGTCTTTGAAATGATAGCACTTTCTTCCTCCAAGGCTGTCTCTGCTATTTCATCGAATTTGTCGTGATTTCGACTCCTTACAATTGTTCATATTCTGCCTGAATACAGACCCTGCACAAAGCAAATATTTCTTAACCTGTCTGAGAGAGTTAAGATTCCGGCTCTCTCCTCTTGCTCGCAGTCTTGCAAAGCAGCTTCTCTAAATTTGGATCCCAATTTCCGAATGCGCTGGATCCAGTCAGACACACTCTCCCCCTTAGTTTGCTTGGTACTGAACAATTGATTAGCATGGTAATCTAGCGTTCTTTTCTCGGTATACGTGTTCTTTAGAAACTCCCTTAATTCTCCCCAATTTTCCAAATTTCTATGAGAAATTGCGGTTCTTGTCTCTCCGCTAATTCTTGTTAAAAGAAACTTATACAACGTGGTTGAGTTCCTAGGGTCAATAACTTCAAACGCTGTGTCTACATTCGCTATAAAAGCGAACACTTCCCTTCTTTCACCCTTGAAAGGAGTTATAAGCTTTAAAGCTTCACTGATTGCTACATATTCTGTCATAATGGCAGTACTACTGTCCGCGTTTACAACCTCAGTATCTAAATTTGGATACAGGTTAGGCATGGATTGAGCAAGCACTCACCCTTTCTGAGTTCTCTGTACGCCTGTGCTGTAGATTGCTTGCAGCACGTTGGAGCCTGCCGTGTAGACCAACCGCAGCGCTATGGACTAGCCCACGCTACGGTAGGCCCGTTGCCACTTCTCTTGTCTGGATCGACCCTCGATCCCGAACTGCCGCTACTGCATCCGTGGGACATAGAATCCTGGCTGGAAATTCCACACTTCCTGCTGGCGGTTTCCCTATCGGGATTCCTTCAGCTTTACGCACTCTTATTTTAGCACAGTTACAATTCCGTTTTCCAATACTTCACACACACACGTGACGTCAATGTGTTGATATTGTTGCCAGTCTGCTGTTCACGCACGCACCACAACAACAACAACAACAACAACAAC